TACAGCACAAGGATGTCTCTCTTGTAAGACACAATTAACTTCAAAATAAAAGAAAAACTTGAGTTTGCAGACTTCCCCCCCCACCTTGTAAATTAGTTTACTGAACAGGAAAAGCAGGTGTTCAGCTACCACAGTGTGTGACAATGGCCATAACTTGGAAAATTCTACATTTTAAGAGATTTGTGTATCTAAGGATTCAGAAAAGCCTTCCAAGTCAATATTTGATTTGGGTGTCAAGTGCTGTGCTTGTCTGTGCACTTTTCACCCGAGATACACCATCTGCCTTTGAGTACTGATACATCCATTTGATGGCAAAGATGAGGAAAGAATATTCAAAGCATGAGAACAGCCAGTCCACTCCCACCCCCAGAGGGGCTAGTTTATAAAGTTGGTATAAACCTTGAAAACCAGGCAGTTAATGGACACAAGGGATTAACCTGTGAGACCAGATTTATTCCTAGAGCTGCTGTATACTTCCATTCCATGCTTCATTTTTAATAAATGTGTAAGTTGCACAAACCCTAAGTACATAGCTTTACCACAAATGCAACCAGCTATGCCCTGATAAGTTGTATCTCATGAACTGAGGACAACTTCAGTTTGTCAAAACCCTTGCTGTGTCTGAAGTCCAAAAGGTAGCTATTATTTTAAACCTAACCTATGTTTTACCCACTTCAGATATTTTAAAAGTCTTTCACATATAAATAACCTGCAGCTGTTAGGCTCTATTTAGGAACATGCAGGCTGCAAGGATGGGCAGATCAGGATAAATTGCAATAAAATTGTTGCAAGCGTGCAAGGCTTTGGGCTTTTGGAGAGTGGTATTTTTAGATTGAGGTCTGAAGAATTACTCTAGGACATCAGGCTGAACAGTCAGGGCATCAGAAGGGGAAAATGTCAGCAGAGGAGGGTCTGGATAGCTTAAGCTGTTGAAAGTGCCTGAATGTGATTCTTCCCAAGCAAATAAATATGCAGTCTGCATCTGTTCCTGGGTTTTCACTGAAAATGAGAAAATAATCTCTCCATATGCAAGATACAACCCAGTGCATTAAAAAAAGGCATTGAGCAGTCTTTTCAGACAAACTAAAGCAATTGGGGAAAAAAAAATAATAATTATGCTTATGAAATACCAGTGAGAGCTTTCATCTCCCTGGTCTTCCTAAAGTTTCTCTGACAAAGAGACTTAATAACATTTAAGTTGAGAAAAACATTTGACACAGGGGCACTGGGTTCCAGAATAAGTAAGATTGCTTGTGGTTTTAAGAAATTACCAACTCTCCTCATCTACCTTTTAGCTACCTTATTTCCTCAGATCTAAAAAGCACTGCCACTAAAACTAAACAGTATAAAACACCGACAAATTGACAACCTAATTTTTCTTTTCTAAAGCACTTCATAGTGTACAAAATGTTGCTTTTGAACTTTTCTGGCTTTTTCACTTTTCAGAGAACAGCCAGAAGTGCCACTGCACTGACTAGAGGGAGGGGTATAAAGGCAACCTGGGCAGAAGCACAGTTCAAAGAATGGGATGAACACAAACGCAGTGTGATGCTGTGACATCCTTAAAACTGAGCACCGAGACCTGGCACCTTCCAGGGAGGAAGTCCAAAGCTAAGGATGCCAATGCCAAGCTGTCTTCCCTCAAGACCAAAGTTACAGGTTGGAGAGCCAAGGCTACCAAGTAAAACCCACTGGAGCACAAGGAAGTACCTGACACACTAAACAGGAGGACCTTCACTGTTCACAAGGGAATTTAACTTCTTCCTACTGGTTCCCAAAATGCTGTCTCTTCTGTTACACTTACGTGCTGCATTTAAATTTGCTTCCCAGTTCCTGAATTAAATTGTTTTAACAGAATTCAGGTAGAGTAGTAGGTAGTTAATGGACTGTTAGTACAGAGCAATCTTGAAAGCTATCTTTGAAATGTATTATTCAACCGAGAAAAGTCTCATTCTACTATTTTACCATTTCTCAGTTTTCCAAGGACAGGATAAGGGTGTTACATTTTACTGTGTGAGAAACAAATTAGATGGAAGCCCTCTGGGACTGGGCTTTGGTATGGTTTCTCTAAAAGACAGAGACCCAAGTGGCAAATCATATTTTTGTGGTTGTTGCACCTTCTGGTCAAATTTGGCAGCCTGGACATGAGGAACCACAAAGCAGACAGTGCTCTGCTGCCAACAAGGGAACATTTAAAAATAAAATTACCCAAATCATGGGCTTGTATCTCTTTACAGCTCCTTGGAGGGTCTGTAAACACCTCTGCACTGCAGGAGTGAGAACTTCCCATGCTAACCCAGTGCAGAGCCAGCACTGCCACTCTTCCCATCTAGTCAACACATGCAACAGTTTAGTGTCAAGAAAGAGAAATGCACATGTACCTCGCATTGCCCTCTAGTGGCTGGTTCACCAGGAGAGCAGCACTGACTCCCTCTTGGTAACAGGAGAAAGTGGTACTAAATTTAAGGTATAAAACTTCTCACTAATTCATCTGGGGATCTGCTGAGTTACCCAGTGCAGTGCAGCTATCCCATGTGCTTGTCTTCCCATCCCTTGGCATTAAACCTTCTCTTTCACATCATCTACACGCACAAGAGCCTGTAACTCACAGTGTGGTACACTACACAGCTCCATGCTGTGCTGCAGCTCGAGTCACTCAGCAGCATTTCTCAGGGTAGTTATGATAAACTCCCTGGCACAATGATCTTCCACTGGAAGCAGGTGGAAGCAATCCCTTCTCATCTCCCCAAGCGGAACATCTTCTGTTCTGCTCTTATATAATCTTTTGTTACTCCTCTGGACACCTCAGTTGAGTTTTCTGCCTGAGAGTAGAAATCAGATAGGACCTTGCAAGCATCCTTCTTCCATTCTGGCAGAGACACACTGAGACAATGTAAGTGCAACCCATCCCAACCTGTCTTCCTTCACAGTAAATCTGACATTGCCTACAACTCCACAATGGCTCTCTATTCCCTTGAGAAAAGGGCCCTGCAGGAGCACTAATCTCTTTCTCTTGGAGCCAAGTGTAGATATTAATCCATCTACATTCATGATAGAGGTTTATAAGCCATCTAGATCATGCTACTCTATAGCTATAGTTACATTTTAGACAGCAAAAGCAATAAGCAAGCCTTCAAAAAGTTGTTGCAGCAGCATATCATTTTAGCAGAACCTTTTGATGCCAGTCAGAAATATTGTTTAATGCACAATTCCAGGGTAATAGTCTCTCTTGAAAGACAGACTGTTTGGCTGCATAGAGGTTCTGTAAAACTCATTTGCAGCTTGGCATTTTGCACACAAGGTAAAGGTCACTAGAAACAGCTCTTACATGCAAGTGTGGACAGCCACCCATTGCTTTTCAGACAGCACATGTGTTCTGAAGGTGCAGGGAGGAAGGGCTCACCTAGTAAAGGCAGGAGGGAGGCTCGAGGACAGAGCAGTGCAATTACTCCTTTGTAATTATTCCGACAAACTCCATGTGTGGACACACATCCACTGAAGATATGGCAGAAGAGGCACTGCTATTGTTATGCCAGCCAACTTCTCCTGTAAACAAGCCCTGAAAATTTTCTAGATAAATTAGGCTTGCAATATGAAGGGAGGCTTTAGACAAAACATGCTTCAAGATGTTCTCACTACTGCACCTGGAATGGTCATATCCTGCTGGTGAGGCAGGGGACAGCAGCACTGTCTTCCACTGGTTCCTTTATGAAATAATGTTAGTTCCTTAAAATTCAGAATAAAATAACTTGGAAGCTATATGAAGATGCCATTTTCATTGAAATGCTGCAGGCCAGAAGTAAAGAAGAATGGATACCTCAAAAAAATTAAGAGATTTGCATAGCTTAGACAGCAACTCTGAAGAGCTGGACCAGCTTGATGCACCCCAAACTATGGGGCAGTTGCACATCATGCTCAGAATCCCCAAGGCTTTAAAAAAGTGAGAAAAATATCTTGAGCAAGAGTCAGAAATTACTTTTTCTGATGTTCGATAAAAGTCTTATTCTTGAGTAATTTAAATCTGTCAAGTTGTGTTGAAAGTATTCCCTGTGAGCCCAGGAGACACATGGACTCAATTATCAAATGCAGTGATACCAAGAGAGCAAAAATACATTAACCAGTATCTGATTGTTCCCTGGTAGCTGCTGAGGTTAAACACTCGAGCCAGCTGATGCCTCACAGCACACTCAAGTGTGCAGGGGGAGTTTTTGAAGTCTATTCCTAGTGGCATGTTTCTTCAACAATACCTACAGTTGTTTGTTCCTTGCCATTTAGCATCAACAGGAACAAAAACCTCATGCAAAAACAACTGGAAGAGAACAAGGTTACCGAGATGCATACAGGGGTGTGAACTTGCACTGCTTCTCGTGAAGGCTCTACTTGTTGGAAGACTATTACCTTTAGTGGAAGACTAATGACCTTTAATGAATTTTAGTTAAGACAGGTCAGACCCATTAAAGCTGATCTTTCCACCTTATTAGCTTTAGTCTTCAGTAACACTAGTTAGAGAGCCTTTGGGTTTTTATTAAAGGTGCCAGGGATCGCTTTTGTTTTTACTGTTTTTTGTCTGTTGTTTGCTCTTCACACAAACAAGCAGGTTTGCATTCTGAAAGTTTGCACCTAAAAGACCTGTTTATATACACTGGTATTTTACTGAGAAGAAAAAACCTCCAGACTTGAAGCAAAGGACAATCATGCCAGTCTCCCTTACTCCATATCTCCATCTCCAACTAGCTAATCAACTAAAGAAAACATCACAATATACTCACATTGTACAGTATTTAAAACTACATGGGCTATGTAACAATAACTGTTGGGTTTTTATAAGCTTATATTTTTAAATAAATATTAAACTGTATTTAAATTCATTCCAATGAAATTTTAAAAGCAAATTTATTACAGAATATGCTGTTTGCTTCAACGTAATTGAAAAATGTGTTTTGCCTATTCCTGCCTTAATTTAACAAGCGATTATTTCATTTTAATTTGTACCATCTTACCTCAATCAGTTTGTTGGCATGTTCACGGAAAACTTGGGCATATTCTTTAACTTCTTTTTCATTCCCATTCTTGGCAGCTTCAATCAATACTAAAAGTGGAACATTTGTTTCCAGAAAAGAGTCTGATACGTGGTCCATAACAGCTTTGCGGAGCTAAAATAAATATAAAATAATGAGTTATTTTTCAGCAATGTTCCACTGCTGCTTTCCATTTACTGTATTCATATGTAAAGCTTAAGTACTTTTGTCATTGATCCTTTTTTCTTTGTGTGACCAAAGATTTTCCTGCACTATGTCTTGCCTATACACTTTTGCTTCAATTTAAATTAAATCTCCTTTAAAAAAAAAATAAAAAAATGTGTTATATAAGTGCAAGTCACCAGTTTGGCCACAAATATTGATTTAGCAGCTCATGTTGGTTTTGCCTGAGTAAATTTGCTGTTTTCCCTCAGCTGATTAAACAACATGCTGATTTAACTTCTATTTTTCTACTGGAATAAAAACATTTTTCTGCAAACTTGTTCCATATTCACATATACTTGAAGAGGCAAATCTATTGCTTTAAAAAAACAAATGGACAAAAGATTGATGTTACATACAGCCCTCAAAGAAAATAGGCTCTCAAAAATGAATACTGTCAGAATTACAAAATGTACCTGATTATGTTCAAAATGTATAAAAAGAAAGGAGCTGGGTTTTTATTTTTTTTAAATCTCTCTTGCCAGGAGGATGATTAAAACCCAACATCTTTATTACCCAGTTAACAGGGGAATACACTTCCACCCCATGTTTCCCCATGAGCCAGGCACTGGAAGCTCCTAGCTTTTAATTCATTAAAGCAGCAGCAGGCAAATCCACTGCCCACTAGAAACAAATCAACAGATCACATATTTCCAAGAGGGTAAACATGCAGAAATGCTCTCACTTATCTCAACATGTACCAACTTTATGCATCAATTACCTGTCTGCGCAGGTCTCTGGTCTTTTTGGTCATTTTATCAATTGCAGAGTTCAGTGCATCACTCCTTTCTTTGCGTCCAGCCTGGAAGGAAGACAAGAGATGATGAGCTAAATGGGGATTCAAGGTCTCCAAGTGAAACCAGCATTATTCATTTCAAGTACACTGTCAGTTTGGTTTTGTTGTGGTTTTTTTTAAAAGTGATTATGTACGCTAGAAGTAAATTCTGCACCTCCCTGGTAAAGCCTTTCCTGGCCAGTTTGGGCAGCACAGGAACATCTGACATCTTAAGATTCTGTCTTTGACCATCTTCAGCTTTCTTTCAGAACAAAAGGTTTGTTTCATGATTGTAGATATCTTTTCACTCCTCATCAGCCAGAGACTATGTCCAACCTTGAGTTTTAGATTTCTCTTTTCTGCCAGCTCTGTCAGCCACCCCATGGCGGGCACTACATGGAGCCCAGCACAAACCTGCTTCAACCCACAACCTTCCCTGGCCTTGGCTGTCGAGATGGCCCAAGGCCAGAGGTCTGCACACAAACATCTCACACGCTGCCTTGGCCCTGCAGGCACCAGCACCACACAGAGCAGTCCAAAGGGCTGTGCATCTGATACAACCATGCACCCTTACACACCTTCACACCCAGCTATCACAGAAGACTGCTCTTCAGCAGGCAGTCAAAAGCCCAAAAATCAATTAACCTAAAGGTAAAAATCTTTAGAAAGCATTTGTCAGGGATGAAATCCAACATTTCAAGTAGGTATCCAGGCCCACCTACTGAGAGCTGGATTTCAGCAAGGTTGGATACAGTGAGTTCTGCATTAACCCTGTTGTTAAAGGGGGCAAGAGGCCAAGAAGCAGCAGCAGCTTCTCTCTTTCTAAGCAGAAGTTGGGTCAAAAATATCCTAATTTATATCAAACTGGGAGCACCAGGTAGAACAATGGTGGCAGCCTGCTTTTGCTGGGAGTCTTTTTTCCTATATAATATAGCTTATATTAGAGTTTTGAAACACACTTCATGCAACCACAATCCAATTTCTGAAGTTCTAAGCCACAATCAATATAATTATCCTGTTGAGAAGAAAAACCATTTAGCAGCACTAAAGTGAGAGTATGCCAGTTATCAATTCTCCAGATGACAGCCTGCTTAGCAATACCTGGATGGGCAGCCTTTAATCTGAAACATTTGAGTCCACTCTACAGCAGAAATAAAAATTAAACAAAATTGGGAGGGAAGCGGAGAAGAATTAGGATGTTTTAGTGTCATTATAGTTTAATGAATTATTGAAGATTTGTCACCTCCTGAAGTAATCAAGTAATGTAATTCTCATCACAAAAGGTAGTTACCTTTTGAAATTAAAACCCAGGCGCTCACTCTGACTACACCACAGCTTTCAGCAGGCACGGCGCTGGCCCATTCTTCACTCCACGCTCAAAAATGAAAGCCAAAGTCTCCAAATAAAAGATTAATGTTACTTATTTATTTTATCCTTGCCATGCTTGGCAGACATGAGAACCGAGAAGCAGTCAGGCTACACAGTCCCTGTTTAGCTTGCACTGAACGTGGTCACTTCACCCCCAGTGCAGCCCCAAGCGTGCCTGTTGGTGCTGCCTGCACCCCGAGGAGGGCACCAGCCGAGTCACCTGAAAATCTGGAATCTGCCAGCTGGCACTGCATCAACTCAAGCCCTGCTCTGAGACAAAAACCTGCAGCTTTCTGATGCTTTCATGCCATTTTACCTATTGCAATGTGACCATTTTCCTGAGCCCATGGAACTCCCCTGAACATGAAGGTGTTTTTTTCCAGGAATATCTTTCGATCTAAGACGTATGCTCATCTATTACGTAGAAAGCCAAGCATTCAGCTAGTCCAAGAAAAGGCATTTTACTTCTCCCTGGGTGCCCCTACATTACCATTTAAACATGAAGCAGGAGCACACTTTTGAAGTGAGTCCACCCATTGTTTCCACTTTGCTGTCCCTGACTTTACAGCCCAGGACACCCTTGCTGCTGGAGGACCAACTGCCTTTCAGATGAGAGGAAAACTACGAGATGGCTTCCACTAATGGACATTCAGTTCATGAGACCAGACCACAGCCAGTCCTGTGCAAAATGCCCTTAAAATCATATAATGTATACATTAGAGCCTTAAACAGCACCAGTTTCATACTGTTGATCCCTTCCTATTAAGCTCCACCACGCATCAGCACAGAAAGAGCCGTATAACCTAAACCCATTAGATTTTAACAAAGCAGTTTATTTCCATCTCATTGGCATTCACAAATTTTAGTACAGAAGCTCTTCAAAACCAGAATTTCCCTCTGAAAGTTGCAACGTAAGATGTCCTGCTACTGTAGCTGCAGTAATTTAACAACTCAGAGCATACAGCTCTTAACCTGGCTCCTTCGACAGGGCTGGTGCAGCAGGGCAGGAGAAGAGGCTGAACATGAGGAACACCTGCAGGTCTGCAGCTAGAGAAGAACCTTGTTGTTATTTATCATCTCAGCTGATTCTAACCAAGGTCTTGGGCCAGAGACAAGAATCTCTTGCCCATCTCAAGTTTCTTGACTTTTTTTGCAAAAAAATGAAACATTAACTGTGGGACCAACTACACCAGGCTAGGTCCAAGCACAGTCAGCTACTGGGGCAGTGGCCACCAGAGCACATCACAAGCTGTAGAGTCTGAAGCTGCATGAGCCCTCCAGGCCATGTAAAACCACTGAAGATCCTTGACCACACCAGTCACTCATTCCAGGTGCTTCCACACCCCATGAGTTTTGCCCATTGGTTCCACACTACCAGCTCAAACAAGACTTGAGCGATTACTCACTCTGAAGTAATAAATACTGTATTAAATGCTCCAAGCAACAGCTTACCACCTCTGGATAATTCATCCAGTAGCCAATTATCCTATTAAAAAATGGCCCTAGCTTCTAGTCCAAAGTACAACTTCTGCTCACTAGTGACCCAGCAGCACAAAACATCCCAGCTCATTCACAACAGTGAAGCCTGAATATTGCAGATTACTAATAGGATTTTTAGATATTCACCACAAAGCTCTGCTGATGGAATCACAAGCTCTGCAGTCAGTTGTACAATAAGATAATAATAGATTTAACAGGGTCACAACTACGTCAGTCATTTTGCAGTATGATACTGCAGCTTTGACCAGTATCGCAGATAATATATTTATCCACAGTGCAAATTTACTTTAAATTAAATCAGATCTTTATCAAAGAGGCTAGAATTGGTGTTAAAAATTGCTCCTTTCCCTCACTCCCTGTAATCTCCACCATCATTGCTACCCTGCTTGGAAAGCAATACAAGCAGTCAATGTCACATCCTTGCTGTTCCAGCTCACACAGCTATCCCCACCAGCGTGTGTTTTAATGGCTTGAAGCAAAGAAAGGGGATTTGTACACAGGGAGGCAAGTGGAATCACCATCTCTGTCACAAAGCATTCCCTTTGTAGGCCTGCAATCTGAATTAAAAGGAAAAAAACCCTAAACAACTGAACCAAGTTTTTTCTACAGCTAATGATATTAAAATCTAACCCCAAGTGATTTATAAAGGTAACAGGGCATGGTGGTGGCAGTGTGTGAACACTGTCTGAAAGCCACCGGGATCACACGTATCACAATGAGTTACCCAAAGCCATGTTTGTGTTGCTAATCATCATCATCAGTCTGGGCTAAGAGAAGCTCACAGAGCTACTAGGAGACACTGGTTTCTACCTGGCACGAGTCCTCACAGCACACCCATCCCGGCAGAGCCAAGCATCCCTTCTCCCCAAATCAGCATGCAGATGTGAGCCAGGTGTGCCACCACTGCGTGACCGAGAGCCACCACTGACCTAAAAAATGATGCTCTAAAAATGATGCGTTGCAGTGAGGTTTCTGCTTCAGGTAACCTGTGAATGGCCTTCTGAGCTATTCATCCAACAGGCAGCATGGTGGCTAATGATGGTGATTTAACAAGTGACAAATGAGTGTCTGGCACACCTTCCTCCGGGCAGGACTGTGCAGGAAGCTGTATGTCAGCATGGCACTGCTGAGCACTGCTTTGTGTGGAGGCAGGAGATTTAGTGCTTGGATCCAGCTTGTCACAGGCTGCATTTTTGCCTTTACACCTAGCCTAATTACATGGCTGCAAAGGATAACTGTCCATATTCCTCTATTACCAGGATACAAGGGCTGCAAACAAATTCCAGATATAGTAGTGCTGATTCAAGACCAGGAAGGTTGAGCTGCACAGTGTTAACACATGGATTTCAGCAGTGTCTTCATATCTGAGATCTGATGGTTGAGGAAGCAGGACTATATGCTGGTTTGTTGTAGGAAGGAATCTTCCATAGTGAACCCACAGCTCACCAAAGCACAGGGGCTGCCTGGCATCATCTAGTGTCCAGCATGAACCGGAATCAGAATAGATGCCTGCAGTGCCCTCCTGCACAGCTTGCCATGCCAAGAGTCCCTCCCCACTGTCAGGCTACAGCCATGGTGGCCCCACACTCCCCTCAGCACCCAGGGAAAGGGAAGGCTGGGTCTTAGACTAATCCTGGGACAAGGAGGAATTAAAATATGCAGCCAGTGCCAGGTGCAGAGTTGTCAGACAGGGAGGTGACAGTCACCACACTACACTGCAGCACACTTGTGTCCTTTGCTCTCAAGAAGACAACAACACCCAAACTATGGTGCCCTGTCCCATCCCTTCCACCGTCCTTGCCTGAAGGATCTCTGCAGCTAGCCTGATAAGCTGGACCTGGCTGTTGATGATGCATCACCTTAGACATGCCTTTTTCTTGTCTGTCCACTTCACAGGACTCACTGCTCACCCAGCTCCATAGTAGCGTGTCCAAGTGACTGCACACACAGGAATGTCACAGGCACATGTCTGTGCTCGTCTCCTTCACCTCACAGCCTGACTGACACAGCACAAAGGCTCTCTTTGCAAAAGAGCAGGAAATACTTCCATGATCCCTGATGTGCCAAATTAACACATTCATTTCTTCAGGCAGAAGAGTGAGCTTCTGCATGGTGCCACACACATGGCTGCAGGGCAACCCCAGCTGTGCCCACAACTCCAGGGCTTGCTATCCTCCAAGCCCACAGCACAAGAAACTCATGCTGCCCACTCCACATCAACTAAAATTAGCTTATTCATTGCTCTTAATCCACTAGGAAGGCTTCCACAAGATGTCAGCCTAACTAAATGACAAGACTACCCTTGGGGTGCAATACTACATCTACCAGGAAAACTAGTTCTGCTGCTGGAGGAGACGGGTAAGAGAGAAGCTCCCACAAGGGTTCTCTGGTCCTGGCAAGCCTCTTCCTGCGGCGGACAAGCCATTTTCCATCTCCAAGTTGCAGGTGATGATTCGTGCCATTACCTCAGAGCGCCTGCTCTGGCAGGAGTCCCCAGATGGCACTCATCTCTGGTTCTCCTCGGCACACAAGGGAGTTTTCACTCTCGGAGAAACGCAATTGCGTGAGCTTTGTTGACAGCTGGAGTTTATTCCCAGCCTACTGCACCTTAACACCCCGGCAGCTCCCAAGGAACAACATGAACATTGCCACAGAGTTCTAGACTTCAGAGAATCAGACACACACTTTCAGCATTATCTGCTGCTTCACAAGTGCCCATAGAAACATGTTTCGCTAAGAAAAGCACCCATAGAGTTCGTATTAATGGTTTCCCAAACAGGAAACTCTCTGGCAAGGTGCTAAATAGCCCTTGTTTGGTTCCAGGCCAAAGAACAGAGAGCAACTTACCATGTTTGAACATTGACTCTTAACTCTGTGCCAAATTACACAATCTTCACGTGGGAGGAACATACCAACAGATACTGATGCAAAAAAGCAAAACGTTTCCAAAAGACACCAAATTTCAGCCGTCTGGTAATAATGAAAAGAGGTAGCACAGAAGAGGAGCAACACTTGACCTTACAGCCACTGTCTTTTTATTAATTACACCCTTTGACGTGTCTTTTTTAAACATTACGTTACCATATTTAAATGTTATTAACAGTCAAATCAACACTTCAAGTCAGGACTTTGCACCAGATGAGCTGCCATGGGAAGCACAAGGCAGGTACTTGGGTGTAGTGGTTCCATCAGACAGCTGGCAGCTGACAGCTATGGCTGGGTGTCAGCTTCTGTACTTCTACAGTGAACATGAAATGTGAAGAAACTCTTTAAACAGGTTTATGTAATTTCTTTACATGTATTTCTTTCTCTTTACAGCAAATGTGAAAATATTTACCACAGCAGAGCAATTTGAGTTTATCTAGCATTTCCTAACACACTATCATTAAAGACAGTTCATTTCCTGATGGGTTGGAGGTAGAGTTTTTTTGCTTTGCTTTTGGGTGGGTTTGGGGTTTACTTTTTTTTTTTTTTTTTAAATAAGAGCTCACCTGCTCCATCCCTTTATTTCCACTTAGCTCTTCCCTTCAGCCTGCTCTGGATGGACAGCCCACCACAGAAAGGAACTACTGCAGTTAGTATTACAATTACACTATAGGACAGCATAGGAAGAAGCAGGCAGAAAACAGCTATTCTTATTTAAACTAAGTACCCCTATGGGATCGAAGCTTAAGAAGAGAGGTAAATGGCCATTTTGAAAGAATATCTTCTTTTGAAACAATTAAATCATCTTCCTCCATCAGGATGGAGTTTGGTATTCTCAGATCACCCAACATCTTGAGGTTGTGATACCTTGCCACTACAGAGCAAACATTTTCTAGTGTCTTGTACTACATTATTGCTTTATATCTCAAGTGAAAATAAAAAAGCCTACTTAAGTTGTTTGGAGCAGGAAACTAATGCCTCCCTTCCTCATCCACAGCAACTCAAAGCCAGAGCAGCTGCTCTGAAGGCTTTCCCCTACATGCATACAATATTTCCAAAATCCTAAAAAAAATTCAAATCAAGTCTGTTCATGTACCTTTCAGCAGCACAATTTGCTCCAGCTGAAAGGGCGATGAACTTTTAAAACAAGTAGCCATGACAGCATTTGCCTCCTCCACGCCATGTGTGCTCTGTCCAGAGACTGGCTCAACTGCGATGGCACCAACAGTTTTGCAGGGCCCCTGTTTCTGCAAACAGACATTTTTGCTACTCTGAAACACTCAGCATAATGTTCATCAACCTGCTAATGAAAATACTGCCCTCCCTTTCACAGGTGGCATATGACACCAGAATGTACCTGGCCTCCACAAGGAAACCCTCCAACGGCTTTGAGCACCAACGGCAAATGCCAACCTCACGGTCTCCTCTCTCGCACTCCAGTCCCCAGGAAAAAGCAAATACATAAGCCACCATCTGGGGGGGGAGGGGGAGCAGATCCTCTAGTTTCATAACTGCATGCTGTCAAGCTGGATTCCAATTAAATTCTTCCTGTGCCCTAACACAAGCTCTGCTTCTTCCAGAAATTTCTCATCACCTGAAACACTTGGCCCTGTCCTTTGCTCCCGCGCTGTGTGCTGTACTTTCCAACACACCCTCCTCATCTCAACGACTGTCCTCTCCCCTTACCACTATTGCAGGGACCAGTCGCACGCAGTTGTTAGGTGTAGCTTTAAGCTGCCAAATTCCTCTCACTTCTGCAAAAAGCAGCGCTAACCAGCATCCTCTGTTCAAACTGTGCATACTCTGCATCTCAAAGTTCCTTTTCTGCAGCGTTATTTAAGGGAAAACAGGCAGCAGCCAGCACTGAGGCACTTCCAACCGCAGCTCTGCACTGCTTCTAATGCCAGCTGAATACAGCCAGCACAGATGTAGAAGGGGGGAATGGGGTGGTGCAAGTCTCTCCTGGTCCTTCTATCGCAGGGACGAAGAAGGACTCCTGCCTTGGATTTTCCCCCCTCCTCTATCAGTGGTCTTTAACACGATCACAGTATGCACCACAATGCTTTAAAACAGCAAAGCTTCTGGAAAACCCAAACAAAAGGAACGTCACCCGGTGACGTCAGCCTATACACAGCCCTGTGTGGTCGCAGCACATAAGCAAATCCATTCTTGTACTGCTTCCCTGAAAAGCTTTTCAGTAAATGCACTCATGCTACTACAGGAGCTTCTCTCAGCAATAAGCCACCCATCTGCCATCAACAAGTTAGGACTAAAGGAAGCCACAGCTGCGGAAAAAGAAAATGTGAGCTTCAATTAACCAGCTGAGCAGCCACAGAGGATGAAAACTTCTTTAAGCATTGATTTTAAAATTCCAGACCTGTCAGAGGAGATCAATCCCGTGATTTCAAAAGGAATATTCCAAGAGAGCATCGTGGATTCAATTTTGCACTGATATCAAAGGACACTAAGCCCAGTAAATTATTCAAAGGCTATCTTACATTAGAGCCTTTTACAGACTCACGGCGTTGAGTCTAAAACTACGACTGAATGCAACCTCCAATGTGCTCAAAAGAATGGGTAAGTTCCTGCCTTTCTATATACCTTGTATAATGAATGACTGGCTGTGCTTTAAGGAGCAGTTAGGTGCTAAAGCATATTTTTCTGCACTGAACCTTATGAAAAAAAAATGTTTTCTGATTCTGACACTGTAAATGCCCCGTAATAAGAGATAAAGACTCATCCTAAGTGTAATACCCAAGTATTCTGTGTTTCATAGTAAGTTGTTTCTTGCATTTAGAATTAGCTTGTCAGAAATGCATGGCAATGTTATCTGCAGTGAAATCTTCCGTGGTGATGTTCAAAGTATACTGATAAGGCTATCTTATCTTGTTGTTTTCCTAAATTATATTCTGCAGGCTTACATTTCAAGTGGCCATTAGGGGCTCGTATGCTGGCAGCACTATATGCAATGAGTATGGTTTTAAAAATGCTGCCTGCCTTGGGCATGGCTTGTCCACCAAAATGTCGCTGTGAGAAGCTGCTCTTTTACTGTGACTCTCAGGGGTTTCACTCAGTGCCAAACACCACTGAAAAGGGCTCGCTAGGTTTGTCACTGAGGCACAATTATATTTCTGAACTTGAAAGGGATCAATTTGCAAGCTTCAGTCAACTTACTTGGCTTCACTTAGATCATAATCAAATTGCAACAGTCAGAGAAGATTCTTTTCAAGGACTGTATAAACTTAAGGAATTAGTCTTAAGTTCCAACAAAATCTTTCATTTGCCAAACACAACTTTTAGCCAGCTGCTTAACCTGCAGAATTTGGACCTCTCTTTTAATCAGTTATCCTCTCTGCACCCCGAGCTCTTCTACGGTCTTCGCAAGCTACAGACCTTGCAGTTACGTTCCAACTCCCTGCGGACCATCCCGGTCCGCTTGTTCTGGGACTGTCGTAGCCTGGAGTTCCTGGATTTGAGCACAAACCGCTTGCGAAGTTTGGCTCGCAACGGATTTGCAGGATTAATCAAGCTGAGGGAGCTTCACCTAGAGTACAACCAGCTGACAAAGATTAATTTTGCTCACTTCCTCCGGCTGAGCAGCCTCCACACGCTCTTCTTGCAGTGGAACAAAATTAGCAACTTGACATGTGGGATGGAATGGACCTGGGGCACCTTAGAAAAGCTAGATTTGACTGGAAACGAGATCAAAGCCATCGACCTAACAGTCTTTGAAACTATGCCTAACCTTAAAACCCTCCTAATGGATAACAACAAGCTGACCACTCTGGATTCCAAGATCCTAAGTTCGCTGACAACCCTCACCACCGTGGGCCTCTCCGGCAATCTGTGGGAATGCAACCCAAAGATCTGCGCTTTGGCCACATGGTTGAGTGGCTTCCAAGGTCGGTGGGAGCACTCCATCCTCTGCCACAGCCCCGACCACACCCAGGGAGAGGATATTCTGGATGCAGTGTATGGTTTTCAGCTTTGCTGGAATTTATCAACTGTTGTTACGCCCGTGGCTACGACATTCCCAGCTCCGACCACCGAGTACACAAAAAGAACAAGCTCTTCTCATTTCCATATGGGAGACAAAGAGATTCCAACTACGGCAGGCATGGTTGTTACCACCGAAGAACCTTTCCCTGAGCCAAACAATGCCATCTTCACTCAGAGGGTAATTACAGGAACAATGGCTTTATTGTTTTCTTTCTTTTTTATCATTTTTATAGTGTTCATCTCCAGGAAGTGCTGCCCTCCCACGCTAAGAAGAATTAGGCAGTGCTCAATGATTCAAAACCACAGGCAGCTCCGATCCCAAACAAGGCTGCATATGGCAAATATGTCAGACCAAGGACCCTATAATGAATATGAACCCACCCATGAAGGACCCTTCATCATCATTAATGGCTACGGACAGTGCAAGTGCCAGCAGCTGCCCTATAAAGAATGTGAAGTATAATACCTACATGCCATCCCAAATTAAATCAGATAAGTAACCTATTTTAAAATTGTAAGGAACCTACACCAGATTCTAATTTTTACAAATGTTGACATAAAGCCTAATTTTCCAAGCTACTTAATGGAAACTTTGTTAATGGAGTGGTGCAGTATTTTTAAGTTTTTTTAAAAAAATAAATCCATAATATTTTCAGTGTTAAAAAAGCAATGATGACATTAAACTTGCACTCCTAACGTCTAAAAGTCTAAAAAACGCTCACCTCAAACTATGTAAAATGTTTCATGTTACGTAATTATATGACTGTGTGTAAATATTTATACCCAAGTCTCCACATCCTACTTTTTCTAAGGAAAACAGTCCAAGGGGAAGGATAGAGGATATCTGTACAGATATCTGCAAGGGGGACATACACTCCGTTTGTTCCACTGCAGCTGTAGGATCCCAAACACTCCAGCTGGCTCCGTTCACTCAAAGGCAGCCGTGGAGGAAGATCTTCCTCCTCTCATAATTTCACTCCAGTAAAAAAGGGGAGGGGAAACAAAACAAAACGAAAAGGCAACAAAGGTCCAGGTGGGGATTTAAGTGCATCGGGGGCCAGTGAATCTCTCTTAAATACAGGTTTCCCATCTGCATTCACAGTCTGTCTTGTTTAAACGGACCTTTGCTAAAGCTCAGGACAGACACGGAAAGGAGCAGTTCACACCATCACAAATTAGCAGGATGGTCACTAATTAGCAGGACGACTCTCCAGGCACTTACAAAGCAGGCAGCACAGCTTCGTTAGGAAGGCTCATTACAACGGGATCGATTCTAAATATGAAGTACATTAAATTCTTATCAGCTCTCTGGTTTGACTTGATGCTTTTCACCAATTCAGGCTAATTACTCGCCACTATGAATAAACGACGCGTCAACGTCTTTTCATGTGTAAATACCCTTAATGCAAGTATTTCTTAATTAAAAGTAAATATCAACTGTGAGGTTAAGAAGATGGAGGGAAGGAAGAAGCCTCTCTTTGTCCCCCCGCTAGCCTCCCAGCTGAGGCTTCCTCTTGCCTGGAAGCTATTTTCATGCTCTAACTCCACTGGTTTCTCTGGAGACAGAATTAGTCCCTGTGATATAAATGCTCACTTGCCCTCCTGTTTCAAAATTAAAGGTAATTACCAGTTAAAAAAATCAATAATTACATACCTTCTAATAAGTTAGGATAATATAACTAGTTTTTAGAATAGTTCACTGAAAAATGTTTCATTTCTTACTTGATACGGGACAGAATCTAAACTACTATGTCTTTTAAAAAATCATATATAAATATATATACACACACACTTCATTCTTAAGGAGTAATTTGCTTTCTTTAGCCAGAAGTACCATATTGCTATTATACTATATTATGAATTGATATGTAAATATTTGCAGATCTATGCAGCAATGCTGGTACTTGGATGCCAAGGGGGCAGGGGTGGGGGGTGGTCTGCAAAGGATTACATGATTTTTTAAGTCAACTGCTCAAATATTGTAAACATTCTAACCAAAGCTAAAAGAACCCAAGGGATGGAATTTTTATATATATATATAGATACATGTATGTATAATTAAAAAGATGTGTTGTGTCCAATTGCTGCAGTGTTAAACAACTACCAGCACACACCAAGAAAGAAAAAACTCCTCACAGTGTTGCCATACCTTGAAGAAAACAGTAATTACAGTATGCTAATTGTGTTGTACTAAACTATTCCGCAAAGTTTTTAAACAGAAAAAAAAATCACTGCATAAAAATCTGTCTGCTATTTCACTCTGCTTTTCTCTATCTGTATTACCAATTAGTGAGGTATTTAGGGTGCAATTATACAACAGTTTGATGTTTTATTGTGAAATGAATTTGTCCAAGGCAATTACAGTAAGATAAGTGTGACTTCTGTTAAGATTTTACATAAAGATTTTTCAGTTACTGGTTTTGAAGATATTAATTCACATAATTTTCCTTTTACATACAGTGCCCTTATTACAAAACAAATATTTTGTTTACTTTCCATGATTACTTTAATGGAAGAGATTCAGTGAAGCCTCATGGTTTTCAAGAGAAATCCCTCTGAACCCTCATAACCATTTACACTCCAACAAGTCAATTTACACCTATTCTAGGGAATCAACTACTGCTTTTAACTTAATACAACAAATCCTGCGGGGCAGGTGGACAAAGAGCAAATATTCTGTATTTAAGTAAATCGAGCCAGGCCAGACCTAAGATGATAAATACAAAGATGTATTGATATCCAAGGGTATTTAAGCTGCTTGTGGAAAGACTCGCTTCATTCCTTGCTATGAGTAAGTGCTCACAGCTCTTCCCTGATGCCCTGGCTTTTGCTCTGAGCGTGCATCCCCCTCTCAGCACCAACCTGCCTCTACCTGTGCACCTCTCCAAGTTAACTTTGTGTTAACCAACACCATGGTCTGCACCACTGGGAACCAGAAAGCAGACACTTTGGGGAATGATATTCACATACAGCTGTAGGGTGCCAGCAGCGACAAGTTATAACTGAGCTCATTAATTATACTGGCAGCCAAATAATCTTGCTACACTATCATCCACCATAAGATGTCAATACTGAACTCTGGTGTCCTCAGCTGCATTAACAACAAGGAATTCCACCTCTCTGCTCCACACACAGCAGAAATCCTTGCTCTAAGACAGTTCAAAAGTGTCCTGGTTTGAGCCAGGATGAAGCCAATTGTTGTCGAACCTGAGTCAAACGATAACAAAAAGGTACCATGTCAGTCTTCCACACAGGAACAAGAAGTGGCTGCTTGACTGAAGCACTGAGGCTCCTCCCAAGGAGGTGCTTTCCCAACACCTCAGCTCTGCACAGAAACCCACTCCATCTTTATTAGCTTCCAATTATACCCAAGAACAGTCAAGAGATGCTCCAGCAATGCTGGATTTAATCCTCTTCTCCACCCCAGCCACTGATACACATTTTCCAAGCATTAAAGCAGTGTTCCAGTGACTCTCCAAGCAAACACGGCCAGGCACCCAACTTCTCTACCCCACCAGCATCCCCAGTTTCCACTGGTCCTGCAGTGCTGCCTTAGCTCACAGACAGCCAAGCAGACCAGCAGACACAGCCTAGCACTGTTTCATTTTACTTTGACTCTCTGTACTACACACTAATACACAGCCAATCTCCCAAATGCTGTGGTTTAATGTCTGCCATTTCCAAAGCCACTTGTTGCCAGGTTCCAGGCGTAAGCAAAGCAATTCCACAAACATTACATTTAGGATAACAGGGATCATAAAACTTGCAGAATGTCATACACTAGCAGTGAAGTCAACTTAAATTCCCTAAGGAAGGACAGCAAACGGCAGGCAAAGCCATTGCTCTACACAAGGACACGACCACAGGCCGTTAATTTTTCAGGCTTTGTTCTGGTTTTTTTTGTTCTTAAAAAAAGTTAGTCTTCCATTCTCAATTGCTTGTGACTCTTCCAGGCAAGGAGGGTATCGTAATAACTGCATTACTCAGCAGTCCCTGATTTATTTTGTTTATGAAACAAGAACCATGATGATTTACTTCAAATTCATTGTATTTCAGTATGAGCAGTGGCTGATGATGAGAGGTTGCTTGCTTGCTCTCCCGAAATATCATCTCTGCTGCACAGCTTCAGTTTCTACAGGCACTAAAGGGCACTACAGGTGTTTCACCACCTCTAGGCACAGCCTCATGAGTGTGTTCAGGGCCCTTTAGAAATGAAAATTTCTTCTACTGCTCGTGATCATTGCCCCATCCAAAGATCTCCTCCAGCCCCACTGACCTCCAGCCAGCTTCTCCTCCTTCTCACCCTCACATTAGTGAAAAGCAAACCTAGCAGCACAAGTTCAGTTTTTGAGTCATCATCCTAGAACAGGTCTGAATTAATACTTTCAGCTCCCCTCTCATTAGTCACTCTGCATTAGATCATCGTTTAAATGCACACAACTAAAAATGACTTGATAAGGAGTAAAATAGGTTAGCATTTAGTCGCCAGCTGAAGTGTTCCTCTGCACAGGGCTTCCATCTCCTATCATAGAAACATAATTAATGCTGCTCTATCAATGTTTGGTTTTGTTTGCTTTTCCCCCAAGCAGAAATGATCTGATTTTCTCAGTGATAAGCCTACCCTGCATGCAAATCTAAGCATCTTAGCTTATGTCCTATTACTCCTCTTACAAGACAGTGGCCTATAGTCAACATGTAACATCAGAAATACCCAGTGGCTTTAAAACAGCAATCTGCACTACACACTTTTTAAAATGTGTTTAAGTTAATTTCCCTACTAGTTTAATGAAAATAAACATGATTTAATTTTCTGATCTGTGTAGCCATCAAAACCCATCTGTTCAGAGCTATGAAATCTACCCAGAAACCAAATTCCATTTTTCTTATGAAGTTTTCCATAAAAATTAAAAGTTCAGAGAGGAATATTGTAGTATTTCTCCTTCCTCCAAAAAAAGGAACAGTTGCACAGCAGCAGCAGCTCCTCCCCCTCTACACCTTCCTCCATTGAGAAGTCCCATATGCTAAAAAAGCCAGGCTTTGCTTTTTAAGCCATCACATTAGTAGGATGCTTAAAGACCATTCAGAATCAGCTGGAAATCCAGGATTTCACATCTTGCACAAAAACCTTTTGAGTGGTATCTAGGAAAAGGTGACAGAAGCTTTGACGGATGTCATCAAGCCTCAGATGGGGCAAAACTTTCTCTAAGGGCAAAATATCATGCAGCTTGTGCCTCTTTGGGGTAAGCAATGACAGGCTACATCCTTTAACCACTCCACTGTAAAAAAAAGCAAAAGCAAAACACACACCATTTTTCTTTGTGCTAATGAAGACAATAGTAAGTGAACTATTCTATTAGCTTTGCAACCACAGATTCAAAAAAAGTCCTAGAACCATTGTATCTAAATTCTGTCTGAAGAGCCAACTTCTGGCAGGAGGGGGTGTAAGTAATGGAGTAAAACAAAGTGCAGTGTACAGAAAAATTTTGTTATTAAAATTGTGTATACTGTAAAACTGAATTTGCCTCTTTCTTCCTCCCTCCCTTTTCAAACATAGGTGTCAAAAGCTCATTCCTCACAATACATAAAGACCAGTCTATAACCACTACCCAAAGCAGACAAGCCAGGTTTGGGTCAGTTCATTTGCCATAATCATACTGCACCTCCTGTTTTACTGCAATAGATGAGCTGGCCTGCACAGCTTCTTCCCAAACAAGATGTCTCTTGACTAGCAAAAATTGTTGGTATAAGCAAGGTGAGAGTGTGAAAACCAAACCCAAGCTGAACTCCTGGCTCTTGAGATTGAATACCTGTATCAGAAACAGCAGAGGCAGTAGTGTCCTCTCCAGCAAGACCTGGCAGTGGCTGCCTGCAGGGCTCCAAGACTGCCTCTGTCCCCAGCTGCTCCCCTTGAGTCTCCTGGTAGACCAACCATTGGTTGCTGTGCCAGCCAGGAGTGTGGCTTTTCCAAGAGAACCATCTTGCCAAGAATTTAGCGAGGACAAACACTCCGTGTAATTTTGAGATGTCAAACTAGCAAGACGTAACTTCAGCTTTGAATTGCAGCCATCGAGAAAGTGTCAGAGATACAAAATGTTCTTTCTAAGGGCTACTGCAAGGAACATAACATGTTCAAAATCATGGTGCTTCAACAGCATGAGAAAGATTTCTCATTTAGAGAACTGTGACAAGTTCACAGACACAGCCCAAAAGCCTTCATACAAGAGCTGAACAAAGAACCAGTTTCAGGATGTTCCAAGATGATTACATGCACCAAACTGCCAGCTAAAATCAGTTGAGTAACTAATCCATAGCTGCATTTACTTGTTTTTTGCAAAAGGTTTGGCTAGAACAATTTCTCAAGGGTTTTAAATGTCAGTTGGCTAACTGCTCCTCAAATCCTTCTAATGCCTCAAAGCAGCACATGATAAATCTATTTTCTTGAAACTGTCAAAGAGACTAATTTTGATATAAAAAGCATCTCAAATGCAAAACTAGTTGTCACAAGCAGAGGTAAGGTACTTTGGAAAAAAACAGTATTCTGAAAATACCATGCAAAACCTTGAAATCCAATTAATAACAAGGAAATGTCAACATCACTAGCAACTTACTTTTAAATGTAGGTTGTGTTAAGACAACTGCAAAAAAACCTGAGATTTAATAACCTGACTGGGGAGAACTGCACAAATGAAGTGAAAATTGCAGTACATGTGGGAAAGCACTGGATCCCTCCTCCAGTGAGTGCAGAGGCCAAGGGCCAGGACTCAGTGCTCATCCATCAGAAAGCCCTGATGGTGCTATTTACTGCCCTTTACTCTGCCCTTGTGGAGAAAAGATTTCAGAAATCACTGTTACCAAATCAACAGTTTCGTGACTGTTAAGACACTAGGAAAACAATAGTACTTTAATTAATTAAAGCTCTGTCGTGGTTGACATCAGGAACTATGTGCACTGAGAGTTATCCCATTTAAACAACAAAAAAAATTACTACCATGGGCTCATTCACAAAGTTTCATGTTTATTTCAGTGATAAATGACCAGAGAGGTTTGGCTACTAATCAGGTAGGTTTGGCCTAAGTAAATGTTTCTGGGTTTAGAGGCAACCAAAATATTATTTTGCTTCTTCTGCTGGTTTTAATCAACAAGGTCTAAGAAATGTGACTTTTTCTTCTTTCTTAGTTTGCTAAAATGACAAGACCAAAGACTTAAAATATACACAAAAATAATTTGAGACCTTCTGAACTGGCAGCATAAGAAACAGAGGGGATCTTGAGTTCAATACAAGATCTTCTCCCCCACAAACACCTCCAACAGAGAGGCAAAACTGAAGTGCTACTCTCTTCTACCAGGACATTTTAAGAAAAGTAGTTAAGTCTTCCTTTAAAACAAAAAAAAATAATTTAAAAGCTGTTCAAGAAACTTACTGCTGCTGTCTCCCAGCAGACTCTACTACTTGTATGTCCAATACTCAAGCAAACTAGACACAGAAAAAGTGCTGTTTTCCTTTTCCACCAATCCTTGCCCCTGAAGAACAATGCTGCATCCACTGTTTGATATAGGTTCCTCATATTTTATGCTAGTTTAAAAAAGCAGCCTTATTTCGTGAGAAGTCTTGAAGTAAGTGGAAAAGGTCCATCCATCAAGAAGGTTCTTAAATAATGAATGGGCCATAGTTCTTTACAGTCAGAAGTAATTAATTTTCTGTATTATAATCAGGAGAATAAATCTGGAAAATCCTTTCTAATGGCTCTGAATCTGAAAGCAGTGTTGCAGCTGAATTTTTAATCTTAAAATACAGGAGCAATGAGGACTTCTGCTGTTTAAACATACAATCTTCTACCAAACAGAACAGCTATACTGCATATTTAATAGGTAGAATGGGTTTTGCAAGACTGCATGAGATTTAAGACAGCACTAGATACAGGAAATGCATTTCAAGTAGAAAGGTCCTTCCAAGATACTTCTCAACTGTATGGCTATAGAAATTCTGTGAATATCTTTGATGAAATGTACAAAATTCTGCAGAAAAGCTTGTTACAAAAAGTAGTTTTACCCACATGCTTTAAAAAGGTGTTAATGCAGAACTCAGCTCAACCCTACAGCCAGTGATCTTATTGGGATGCATTTGCTCTCTTCCCTTTAACTAACTCCTAAATAATCCATCACATATCCTCTGCCTCAAAAGCCATGTGCTGTTAGCTATCAATTTCTGCCATCCAATAGATTGCTTCAACCCTGATATCACCTTAAGTTTTTTTATCTTTCAGAGAAATAAAAACTGTAAAATTTACAGAGCTCTTAGTAAAGCTAACAATGACACAAGCTGTTAGCAGTGAGAAATGAGGGAAGTGGACAGAGACACAGGCTGCAAGCCAGTTTCCACCTGTAAAGACACCACACAACAGCTAATGAAGGGAAAATACATATGCATTGCCCTGCACTGCAGACACTTTCAGCAGCTTTATTAACAAGCTCTACTTTGAGTAAGGCAAATTTTAGCTACCCAAGGTGACTCACCTGACCCAGAAGGCAGTGAAACAGTGAAAACCCTCAGCACACACCTATCAAAGGATGCAAGTCAGGAACAAACTAAGAACAGAGTTGAAAAAAACACACAGCAGGCCATTCTGCAAGCCCCCAGGTCTAATCACACACCTTTCATTTAAAGAGAAAGAAATATTAAAACATCATCTCTGTTGTCCTCAGGATAAGACAACATGCTTCAGTAAAGACCTGGAACTACTTATTGATGGAGTCTAGCCCTGGAGCATGCCTTCCCCAAGCGAACAGCAACAGCTGTTGTGCCAAGGCCTACAGAGAGATGGGATTAACTCCATGCTTGAAATGCTGGTTGAATAATTTAAAGGCTAAGGAATCCCTCCTCAGTCTTTCCAGATAGTTCTGAGGATGGAAACAACTGCATTGCTGCTTCCAGGTAGGATAGACACCAGGCTCAGGGGAGCAGCAGACCGTGCAAGGCAGAGCCAGAGCACTGGCAGCCAAGCCTGGTAAGTCCTAATGACAGCTGGGAGCTCTATAGGTACCAAGTGGATATCTTTAAGGTTCAGAACTTCAAGAATTTAACAGCCATAGGGCAGGGAGGAAGAAAAAAAAGCATCTCTAGTTTATATTCTTCTCTATGGATGGCTGGTTTAGCTCTGGGACATCTATTAGCACCACAGCAGCTGTGGAACTTGGAAGTAAGAGAGCTTTGACTACACGACAGATGCCTTTTGCCTGCAACTAGCATCCAGCCCTAAGACACCTGGAACTTCAAAAAAAGGCTAAGATTAGACATTTGATTACACTGAACTACAGAGAAAAATACAGTAAGCTTTGGCAGGTACTAAATCTCTAATATGTCACAGTGCTCCTTGAGCAAAGCAAAACTAGGATATGTTTCACAAGTCACCAGAGTCCATAGTGACAGTTAACTTTTACTGACACTACAAAGTGGCATGATCAATGTCCCTTGTATCATGAGTTTTACTCTCTGCCTGTGAGTGGAGAGCAAGTATCTAGACCAGCAAAGTCCTTTGGGTGAGGAACATATGCTGCCCATAGTTAAAATAATTGAACACTCACACAGTTCACTGTGTAACATGCTGTAACAATGAGGACTAATGCATGTCAGATATTTACAGACCACAAGTGCAGCTTTAATACACCTTCAGAACTGAGAACTACTGAACAAGTTGCAGTGCCTCCTCCACTCCAAGAGCTGGATTTGTCAGCCAGGTAGGTATTTGTTGACAAAGCTGAAACTTAGAGAAAACCTCCACTTTGTTCCAAATGAGAGAAGTGTTTACAGAATGAATTCAAAGCTCTTGCTGCAGAGGTGTCTCCTTACCAGCAGAGACCGGGACAGCAAACCCCACCTGATACCCAGCCAGGTTATTGTGCAAAAAGCACAAAACCAGAAACATGACACAAAGATCTAAGGTGGAAGTGGTCAGCACTCCCCTCTACCGCAGCTCAAGACTCCTCCAGGACTTTCCCGTGACTAACAGCTGTCTGACTGCGCCGTAAAACATGACAGACAAGTGAAAGCACTGACAAAGTGGGAAACTACTCCAGTGCACCATGGAGATAAATTTCAGGGATATTACCCCTTCATATCTACAACTGTCTGTGGACAACAATTAACTTGACAAAGCATGCCAGTGAGAGTGTCCAGAGACACATGAAAAAGTTTTATACTACATTCAAATGAGCTGACACTACTAGACTGCAGCCTGCTTTCTTCTTCTTAGTGCGCACTTGATCATTTGAATATACCACAGTAAAGCTGTATCATCAAGATAGGGACTTCCCAGCATCTACTTTTACTGTCCATTTATTGAAAAACAGTAATCTTCATCAGGCAAATTACTAAGTGATCATCTGCTTTAAAAACAGTTTCGGTTGTTCAGGCAAAGGCAGCAACGTTGCAGCACATTATTTGCTGCAACTTCTCTGACTTCAACCTGTGCTCTAAGAGTCAAGAACAAGATTTAGTCTGTACTTGGGGACTCTCAGATATCCACTGGGAACCATGAAAATTCAAGGACACCACTCCAAAAGAGATGTTATGTAAATAACAAAACAATCCAAGCACTCCATTCTTCCAAAACTTTTGTTACATTACAAATACAAAAAATAATAAAAACAGGTGTGACACTGAAAATTCACCTGAAACATGAAATGTACATTAACTATATGCAACCAGTGACCCTGGGGTACTAACTGAAAGCACTAATAAAAATTAAATCTCAAAAAACTCCCACTTACAGGGAAATCTACCTGTGGAGGGCAGAAAAATTTCTAAAAGTTCTGCAAAAAGATACTTACAAGGTTATAACAGCTTAGTACCAGACTCCTCTGCTCTTATGTTAACCAATAAATAATGTTATCTTCATAAAAGTACATCAAGTCTCACCATATCATCTTACCCTACCACATGTCTGTTGAAATTTTGTACCTACTACTTTACAACTAGATTTTTCTGAGCTTTTACCCCAGTACCAGCTGTAGGAAATCTGCCTTGCACTTTGGGTATTTCCTGGTGCCTAAGCCTCCAGCTAGTCTCAGTTGCCATGAACCAATTTAAATGGGTAAACCAAGCTAAAAATAATACTTTTATCCTGTGGGGCTTTTTAGCAATTATTATATATTGTTTCCCACCTATGCTTATGCAAGAGAAATATTTTGGACTACTGGCAGGATTAGGACAACATGACAAGTCCACCTCCTTGACACAGACTGCTCAGAGACACAAGGTAAACTATGATAAGGAACAAGAACTGGTTTCAGTGATCTGAGTCAGGAAAAGAAAAAACCCACATCCATTCTGAGCAGAAAAGAGGACTAGTTTGTGATTATTAAAACAGCTTCTACCAAGGCCATTAAACAGCTTGATTTCTATTTTGACAAATGTTTTTGATTTGGTTTTTTGGGGGGGTTTTATATAATGCAGTTACCACCAGGAAATGCCTATTTCACCAGTATGTTATCAAAAGCATTCCACTGCCTTTGAAACACAGATTTCAAATTAGGAACATATTTCCAGTCTCTTAATACATAAAAAGAGAACCTCCAGAAGTCTTACTTCCTCGTACAAGAGCAATAATTTGCAACTTCACTCTTGTAGACTCATCCCTAACAAAGGAAAATCAGGAGAACATACAGGTTAGTCCTCTTTCAAACTCCTTTATGTCTTTTAGCTTTAATGACAGCTGACCAAAATCTTCAGGACTGTTCCACGCAAAAGCCCTAATCCCTTCAACTTGCTCCAGAATTCCCTCTTCAGGGTAATGCTGGAAGCAGCAGAAAATGCTGGGTCTGGTCAGCAGATGCTGGGGTTGGTTTAGAATCACAGAACTTGTTGGGTTGGAAGGAACCTCTAAGGATCATTTAGTCCAAACCCACTGCAGTAAGCAGGGACATCTCACACTAGAACAGATTGCTCAGAGCCCCATCAAGCCTGATTTTGAATGTCTCCAGGGATGGGCCCCCACCACCTCTCTAAGCAACCTGTTTCAGTGATCCATCACCCTCACATTAAAGAATTTATGTCCAACCAAAAATCACGCTAACTTAAAAACATCACCCCTTGTCCTACCATTACATGCCCTAATGAACAGCTCTTCCCCAGCCTTCTTATAGGCACCTTTCAGGTATTGGAAGGTGTCTGTAAGGTCCCTTCTCTTCAAGCTGAACAACCCCACCTCCCTCAGCCTGTTTGTAAGCAGTTCACATCTTAAGGACAATCAGATCCAGACAAGATGAAGCGATTAATTTCATCCCCAGCCCATGCAGGAACCCAGTTAGTAACCTGTATATCCGTCCATGCACCCACACACTCCTTGTGTTCCAGCCCCAGGGATAATGATTAATTTCATTCAAATACCTTCACAGGCAACAGTAACTGTGCAAGTCCTCTTTCAAGCAATGGTGAAATCAAACCTTTACAATTACTGCCTAGTGCTATCGATG